GCTGTGTTAGTGAGTCAGTTCAAACTGATGTACCTAACTGAAGAATATTCAAGTCGTGTTTTTCAGAATTTAGATTTTTGCAATTCAATAATGTACACCTTGTAAGGAAAAGTTCAAGTGATGGATGTAAATCCGAATTATGTTAAAAATAAATGCTCTATCCCTAACGTGTGTAGCTGATATCTCTTGAACCGTGCCAGACTCAGCATACTTGTAAACTTGCATAACTTTATAAGCCTTGAGCTGTCATCCAATGTAAAAACTACGGCTTTAAATTAAGTAATTCACCAAATACGTCGTGATGTTGGGGAACTAAATATCTAGCCGTAATGACCAAGGGGATGAAACAAGGATCAAAAACTTCAGTTTGTTTATCGTATATGTTCCTCGTATCTCCACTAAGCCTTGAATAGTATGCACTTCAAGACATAGTTATACTCTTCGGACATTTGTTCTAAATAAAAATATTCTCTTTCCTCAGCCTGATAACCACCCCTGTTTATAAATAAATATAAGTATTATAAAAAATGTAATATTCAAGTTCTTTTTCACTTGCTGCGCTTATGACTGCGGCTTCTAGAATTTTCTTCATTATAACAATTAAGCGTAAATGATCAACAACCAAAATCCAATTGAAAAGGAAAAAAATACAAATATACCAACGTAAAATGATTAATAATAAATTGTGTAAGGTTAGGTTACACAGTAACTCACGTTTAATACTGAAAGCAGTGAACTAGGTATTCCAATAACTATCATTTCGTTACAGAAATAACGCAAATGCAGTATTAAAATAAGAAATAACAATAGTACTGCATGACAGTATTTAGCATGTCCAATAACTCTCTAATATTAACCTAACCGAGGCGCATACAGAATACCATTTTGGGTTATTTCGATCAGCTGTTGATAACCATATCCGGCCTGCTATAATTTTAACGGATAGCTTACAGAATAGACCCGTATGTGTGTTAGTACAGAAGAGAAAATCAAAGAGAACTCTGGGATCAAGTTCACCCCTCATCATCAATCTGACCCCAAAATAAAATTTTGTTATAACTATAGCATGAATTTTCACCGGAGTTTTACATTGTTCAGATCGTATTTGAATTTTGCATACTGCTACACTTAATTTAATTTTAACGATGTGATCAAAGTCACCCCTAACCAAGTATAAAGTTGATCAGGTAGCAATTGGCCTTTTTGGTAACTAAAATTTATATTTCACTGTTTTATATTCTGTGGTATGAAAGCAACATTTTTAATTTAAATTTAAATTTAAAAGAATAAGTAATAAATATCACATTAAAGTTTTAGACCAAAAATATTAAAATGAACATGATCAACGGCACCCTTTAAAATTCCGACTGAAAACCCCAGATGGAAAGTTTCTTACCTGCATTCTTAGTCTGTATCGTTCTTTTTCCTGTTCCGCGAATAATTCTTTGAGTTGACCTGGTAGCGAAGGAGGGTAGTTAATAGTGGGGGTCGTTGGTGCGGTGTTTGCCAAAACATAAGTACAGCGATTCATTAGATAGTCTTTGAAACCCTGCGGAGGCTTGGGTTGAACTAGAAACAAACCCTTGCGTCGTTTTTCAATCTGAAATTTGTTAAAATGCAAAAATAAGAAGTGTTTAGGGTTATAATTAAAAATATACTATCCTGCTTCAAAAGCTCAGCATTTTACAATAAATAAACCCAAACCCAAAACTTACAAACGGTATTTTGTTACCTGTTTCCTGATATTCATAAACAGCTTATAACAGTTTGTTATGGGCTGTTCGTGTGGATGCACTTCGCGTGATTCCGTTGACGATTCCGCATTATCCGTCGCTTGTTGCGCACTTGCTTGATCACTTCGGCTTTGCTTCATTTTCCGTTTACGTGGATGAAGTTCGACGTGGGTTGCAGCTGGCGCGGATGCAGTAGTCGTGCTCGTATTTGCAGCAGTGTTGTTCTCTGCCTCAGTATCTTTGGAAGCCTGCAAAGTCACGACTATACATATTTTTTAAATGAAACGTGGACTTTTCTGCAGCCGAAACCTTACAGATCTTTACCACTGAAAAAGCCAGCTTTAAAATAAATCACTTACTTGTTCATCAGTTTGCGTACTAGGAGCTTCCTTTTTATCGTTGTCTTTCGAGTTTCCGGTACTGTCTGGGCTATTCGTTCCAAGTGCAGTTTCTTTGTCAGACGAATCATTGCTATTAGAACTGGCAACTACATAAGGTAAAGCTTGATGCACTCTTTGAGAAGCGTTTTTTCCTATGAGCGAAAATCAATTAATAAGATTTCAACCATAAATCTCATTAATTAAACATTGTATTTAGCTTTGAGTTTAAACTAATTTCACCTGATTAAAATTCAATGTAGCTGCTAAATAATATCTCCAAAAAAATTGTTGAATCATCTGAGCTTACCATTTCTACTAGTGCCGGTGTCCTGTTCGTTTGTAGAGCTTTGCGGAATGACTATTTTCAGAGGAGGAACCTTCAAGTCGGTTTTACCATCTCCCGAATTTGAAGAACCTTCTCCCTAGAGATTGAAAGTCATTTGATCTGTTGTGTTGATTTCAAAACAGGTGCGTACCTCAACATCACTTGCACTGTTGTTACTAACGGTTGGTTTAGGACTGCCATCAGGGCTTTTCTTGTCTGCAGAAGCGCTTGCTTTTGATGAACTGGCCGCCGCATGTTTTCCAGTCGCGCTTACTGATTGTTTGCTACTTTGCCCTTTATTTTGCCCTGAAAAAGTAATCATGCTCTTTATAAACCTTTTAAATAATAGCGTAATAAACAATACCTCTTTGTGTAGTTTTGCCTGTTTCTTTAGCAGTGTCGTCTTTTCTTTTCTTCTTTTTGTTGTCTTCATCTTTTTCGCTGTCGTCGTTACCCTCGACCTCGCCATAAGCTCTTTTAGTCGAGTCTTCATTTGTAGTGCTGGTTGGAACAGATAGAGAATCGGAATTGCTCATTTCCGACTCGGTATTTTCCGACTTTTTCTCTGCAGCCGAATCCGCATCCTAACGTAAATTATTATGTTACTTTCTGCTTAAAATTTTAATAATAAATCATACCTAAAACACAGTGTTAGAATGCTTGCTTTATATTTGAAATGTGTCCCAGTTAGCGTCAAGTTTGTCTTAATGTGTAAATGTCTTTAAGCCGCCGAGGTCTAGCGATAACATGATTGCTTGGGCTGCAATATTGTATTGGCCCATTTTTCTGGTGCCCCGATTTTAGACTCACGTCTAGCGGGGTCCCGTGAAGCATTTTTGTAAAACAAATTGAAGGAGCATATTTATAGCTCTGAGTTGTGATTCTTTATCATCATAGTTTATGTGCAACAAGTGGCAGTTTTTGATGATATCGAATAAAAAAGATGTTATTAAGTTTGTTTATGTTTATATAGCATTTAATTAAAATTGCCGACATAGATATTGCAAATGTGTCTGTATACCGTCTCTGTTAACAAATGAAAAAAATGTGTGGGTGTCGGCAATATATCGTTACAGAATAGAAGAATATTTTCGGCATCGGCAAACATAGTTAATAACTCAGTAATGAGATAATTCAAAAAAATTAGCTGGATATACTGCTCAGATCGGAACGAATAAGTTCCCACAACCTTGGCTTATTGGAATCCAGTCCGTTTTACAATCTAAGCTTTTTCCGTGGGAATGTAACATTATTTTATAATATAAGCATTTTGTGAGGATTTAACTTGGAAACTGTTTTTATTCTATATTCAGCCATAGAGTGGTTTAGTTCAGGTTCATATTTGATATAATTGAGTACTTACATCATTGAATTTTTATTTTTTGTCATTTGAGCCCAAAATTTGATGCCCGTATTAGTACTTGAAGCTACAAAGTTACGTTAGAATGAAATAGAAGAAGTGAAGAAGAGTGCCAAGATAAGCGTATTTGGAAGCAACTGCATCTGTATAGACGGAACGTATGGGTTAAATAGTTACGATTTTGAACTGTAACACTGGAAAAACATCAGAAAAGTAATCAAGAACCGCTATGTATCGAAGGATACAACATGGAATTACCCGACTATTACAGTACAAAATAATTTTGAAACTACTAAACGAAAATATAACCGACGGCAATGTCAATTAGAACTGGGAAAGAATAAAAGTGTGTATCCATAAAGCCGAGGAAAAATCCATAGAAAACAGAAAAATTAACGTGCATGCCCAAAACCACAACACACCATGGTTCTGTGAGGAGGTGGAAAAGCTAGCCAATAAAAAAAGCTACTTGCTTTACAAAAGCACTCAATCGCACGATACTCTCATCAAACACAAAGAGACCAGAAACCGTGCGAACCCAGAGATACGAAGGATTAAACGAGAGTACTGGGAAAAATTTACCAATGATATGCAACACGATTTATATGGAGCTCAACGGAAAGTATGGAACATGCTTAAAAATTGAAAAAATCCTGTGAACGAATACATTCAAACTAAAAGCGTGTCACTGCACAACTGGGAGAGTTATTTTAATGACCTGTACGATAGCAACTAATACACAAAGACTAGAGCTGAGCAGGCAGAAGAAGGAGAGGAGGTCCCAATATCATTCACGGAAGAAGTAAAAAACAAAATAAAAAAGCTTAAAAATAGAAAAGCACCGGGTGTGGACAATATACCCAACGAACTTCTAAAGTATGGCGGTAATGAACTCAGAAAAAAACTAACGCAACTCTTCAATGGAATATTAAGCTCACAAACAATCCCCGACGATTGGCACAAGAGCGTCACCATACCAATCTTCAAAAAAGGACAAAAAACAACCCAGACAACTACAGGGGTATAACTCTTCTATGCTCCTCCGTGAAATTATTCACCGTTCTTATTAAAGATAACCTGGAACAACATATCGAAATTAAAGACGAACAGCAGGGATTCCGGAGAAATAGGTCTACAACTGACGCCCTATTTATCATACACCAAATAAAAGGAAAGGCAATAGAATTCGACACCCCCGCTTTTGCATGTTTTATCAATTTAACAAAAGCATTTGATCGTGTCCAACTGGAAGACATTATCACCATCTTGAAGAAAAAACAAACGCCGGCAAGAATTATAAAAACAGTATACTGCCTAAACACAGGAAATTCAATCCGAATTAAAGTTGATCATAAGACAACAGATATTTACAACATCTGAAACAGATATACAAGCATTTTCGGTAATGTTAAAAACATTTTTTGAAGCTCTATCTGAAAATGAGTCCAAACTAGATTTCATAAATTATTTTAAAGCAAATTATGAAAACAAATTTAAGTCGAAAGATGGGCTAAATGAATAGGCGATTTCACTTTCAGATGGCGAAACCCTAATAATTCCAGAATTCGCATGCGAAAACGACATAGAGGATTTATGTAGTATCTTAGGTAGTAAGAAAAATCTGAGAGGTAAGAGCAAGCTGGAACAAGATAAATTAGATTTAAAAGAGTGAGTTTGTGCTCAGATAGATAGAGTGTCTGGAATTGCAAAGCTTTGAGAAGCGAAGCGTGTAATCGCGTCACTTGAGACAACATTAAATGCCATTAAAATGCGTGGCAGCAGATCTTTAACAATTTCAGAGACAGAAAGACACATACCACATGATAAAAACATTGTGCAGCAAGGCGATTGTCTTCAGTTATGAAGAAACCTAGTAAAAGAAAAGCTGGCTTGAAAAAAACCTAGTGTAAGTGCAGTACTGCAGGCTGAAAACAAATAGTGGCTAACCTGATTTATGAAGACATGATTCAAAAATTCATTATTCATTAAAATTATATTAAAATCAAAAAGCGATTCATTTGAATTTTACTCCTTTCCTCAAGAAGCCCTACATGTAAATTTTTAACCTGTGCGCTATTACGGAGGCCAGAGCTGTCAGATACTCGGATATAACAGCTCCCCCCACTAGACGTGAGTCGATTGATTTTGGCTGACCATTTTGATCATATTTAAATTTTGTTTTTATTTTGTTCAATACATATTTTACTTTGAAATAGAAGAAAATACTTTCCTTTGACATAAACAAAAGGGTACTAGACTGAAACAATGTTTACAAAAAGTAATTGTAGATAAGTTCTATATTGTTGAGGCGGATTCATTTTTTACAAACTTCTTTTTGGGTATTTCGCCTCAAATAATAATAAAATGTAATAAATAATAATAATAATAATACCCTGTAATAAAAGACGTGAGGAAATTCTGTCTTTTTTAAAGACAAAAATTTTTGAGGCGAAATACCCAAAAAGAAGTTTGTAATAAAAAAGTAATTGGTTATACCTTTACTGACTTGAACTCGTAAATGTCTTCAGCTGTAGAGTTGGATTTGGCATCCATACTTTCACTGCTTGAAGTAGACGAGCCGGTCTTTTGCTTATCTGTTGAAGCGCTCGAAACCTTTTTATCATCTCTTGAACGAAGTGGAACGCGCGTCGATGAGGAACTGCCAGCTTCTAGAAAGAACAATCAATAAAAACGATTTATCCCAACTTGAAACTTTTTCAAATCGAGAATACCTGCGTTGCAGTACATATTCAATTTAAAATGAGGTCATACGAAATCCAACAAATCTGTTAATTGTGTGTATGCTTTCTTAACAAAACAGGTTAATTCAATTTGCAATCGGCCAGTTTGCGATAATAAACCGTTGATTATCGTTCATTAATTTATGGGAAAGTTTGCGATTAAAAGCACTATAACGGGTCATAAAGCAATAAATGAACTGCATACTTGAACTGATTATTTGACTAGGAACAACAAATATGTGAAACTATATTTTTAACTTATCGGGAACATATTTAATTAATTATTTAATACATTAATACAGTTTGAAAACTTAATGACAATGTTAGCATGTTAAGGAAGTTACAGATATAAAAATACACACCCCATGCCGAATAATTGCTTACATCAACTGAACATAAGAATATCAAAATAGGGTGACTTCGCCAGTAAGCCGGACACAGCCAGTAGTAGGACAAAACGTATATGTATGTATATATATTTGACAACAGTATCGCCCTAAATAATTATAAAATCAATTTTGCCAACCTTTTCCTACGATTCTTTATCATTTTAATTTGTGTAGTCATTATTGAACCGTTAAAAACGCGCGAAAATGTCGATGTATTAGTGCTCTCCAGATCATCTGTGTCAAAAATACCTAAAGATGAGCGAGGTTAGATGGAAGGGAGAATATTGGAGAAGGGTTTATATTGACACCACTAATGGCAACCGCTTCTATTACTCAGGTGAATATGGTCTAAACGATGTGGGCATCTTGGTTTCAAAGGTCCATGACTAGTAGTGGGCAAGACGGGTCATTTCAAAGATCCGGATCTTTGGATGCGGGTCGTGTGTCAACGGATCAGTACCAGGACCCAGAACAATAGCACTTGATCACGCATCGATGGGCAAACCAATATGAAATGCGTTATTTATTGTAATAACGCAAACTTTAAAAAAGTTTGTTTCTTTTTAACAAAATTTAAACTACTTCAAGGGTTTTATTGCTTTGTTTTTGAATATTTATATTACCTCATCTAAACATATACCAATTTATCTGAGTAATTTCTCAAAAACATCGGTAATTACATTTTGTTGCGTTTTACTTTCATATTTATTTTTTATAATAGCTGAGGTGTTATTTCAATAGAGGAACAAAACACAGGTCAGACTTGGACGTAATTAATTGCTTCAAACAAAATAATGCGGTGTATTGTAAGTTGAATATACATTATTACAAAAATGTTACGGAAAATTAAAATAGTTAAAAAAAGTACTTGCATTAAATAAAACTACAGAAAGTAAATACAAGTTTAATCCTTGTTTTAATTTTGTTTTTATAATTTTCACCGTGCAAGTGCACGCTATGTATTTTAAATATGTATTTCTTCATATTTAACTACCAAATTTCTGAAAGCAAGAAATAGTAGTTTTAGATAGCAGAGCGACGAGTAACGTTTTTTTTCAAACGACGAGGGCGTTTCGATTTCGTTTCAGATCCCGGATGGGTAAAGTGGGAGTTTTTGATTAATTTCAATAAAAAAATACTTAATTAATTAATTTTGTTCAAAACACCATTGTAACAATAAGCTTCAAAGTTGCCTACATATGTTTGTGATTTCTTCAAATGACATCTGCAGCCTCTAACATTTTAACTCTCAGGGTAAGTAAAAATTCACTCAGGAGAAATATGATTTCCTTTGCTACGGCGTTTCATTCTCACATAAAATTACGTTATTGAAAGCGCATGTTATTTGTTTGTACATAAATGCACATTCATCAAATTAAATAAGTACTCGTATTAAATACTAATAATAAAGAAATAAAATAAAGAAACCAGATTTTCCAAACGGTTACTTTGTCACAAAGACCAGTTTTCTTTGTATATAAATATTGTTAAATATTTTAAAACAATCTGAAAAACATACGAACTATGGTACTTTATTTATTATAGATTTTATTTCAAACTGCACAACATAAAATGATAAACATATTTTCCTTACGTTACGTTACTTAATTTTAAATGGAAAGGGTGGTCAAGTGGCACAGTTTTAAAGGGCGTTCAATTATTTATACATTGCTTACTACTTTGTTGCTTTTTGTGCAGAGATTTCCGAATAATCGCGTTTCAATGTTGTAGAAACAATTAGATTTGTCTGCATTCAGATCTTGGTTTTCAGGTTAGTGTTTACACAAAAACGATTGTGTTGGGTCTCCTTGTACTACAAATGATTAGAAGACTAGGTTACAATCTTAAAATCGATGAATAACAGGATACAAATCTAGTTAAAACATTGATTTCCTATTTTAGATTTTGATCTTATTTCTTATTTTTTGATTATTTTACATCGAGAAAAATAACTTTATTTGCGGAAGATACATTTCTACAATAAAACCTATGGGACCTACTTAGGACTATATTATAAGTTGTTCAAATGTCAATTTTCCAGTAAAAAATAATAAAGTCTGTTTTTGAACTCTTCCCTAACATTTCAGAAAACTTCACCGATAATTGACCGGCATTCTGCTGCAATTCGACTTTTAAGATCATCAATATCAGCAGCTTGTGTGTTATAAACAATGGACTTAAGATGTACCCAAAGAAAGAAGTCTAAGGGTGTTCAACCCGGTGATCTTGGAGGCCATTCAATTGGTCCCCTTCCGACAATCGATCTATCCGGGAATATCTTATCAATGCTAGGGGAGGGTTGAAAAATAGACATTATTATTGTTTGTAGGAAAATAGACAACAGTTTGAACAACTTGATAGTGCGTAAATAGCTGGGTTTTATTGTATATAGAAATTTCTATTCCGTAAATAAAAATTTTCTTTCAAAAATTCAATTTTTGATTTTCTCAAAGTAAAATAATCAATAATTCCGAAACCAATTGTTTAAACTAGATTTTCTTTCCGTTATTCAACCATTTTAACGGTGTAACCGAATCTTCTAATCATTTGTCCGATTAAGAGACCCAATGACATAACTTTTGTTTAAACACTAATCTGAAAACCGAAATATCAATGCAGGCAAGTTTAATTGTTTCTACAAGTTGGAAACACAATTATTCGAAAACCTCTGAACATAAAGCAACAAAGTAGTAAGTAATGTAAAGAGAATTGAACGCCCTTTGAAATAGTGTGCCACTTGACCCCCCTTCCCATTTAAGATTCTAAGGGCGACATCTACCCGTCCTAGAGGGTTGAAACAAGGAGGCTAAAAATATTAATTTAAAGTGCCCCCCTTGCAAATAAAATTGACGGGTCTTTCCGATTTTTCATATTTTCAACTGCAAGAAAGATATTAAAGGTGGAAAGTTTTCAAATTGACACCCACTGGCGAACATTGTCCGACAACTAGCAAATCGGAATTTTTTATTTAAAAATCAATAACAATTTGTAATTGGATTATAAAATAAAACTTTTATATTTAAATGGAAGCCAAATCATAAAACTATTACCTAGAAAAGGTTTTAGATTTGTTACCTCAATACCGGAAATTTAATAAAATAATTAAGTTCGGACTTCTAATCTAAGTTCGGAATCTAACTGTCCGACTACTGGTTAATTTCCTTCTATCTACTTGGCAACAGATTTGTGCCACTTATGGAAAATAATTAAAATTCTTATCAGTATACAAGGCAAAATTCATAAAAAAAATTCGGTATAGTTTGTCAAACTTATTTACTGATAATACAATTACCCGTTAATTAATTTTTCTTTAAATTAAATAGTACGACTTTTCCTAACAACGGAACTTAAGAAAACGAATTAATTACACTGTGCAAAATATTCATCTTAACCACCTAAACTTAAATTTCGCTTTAACTACTTTCGCTTAGTTTAAAAAAATAATAAAATTGTAACTTTACCTTGAAAATGGTGAAGTACGACTTATCGAAAACTGCATTGGGAATATTAGTAACACTGATAAAATATCACGGTCGTCCAAACATAATCATTATTTTAACCGGTTTCCAATGCACACAGAAGAAAAGCTGATAAGTTTGAATATTAATTACACTCGTATGTAGCAAGTATGGTTGAAAATGAATAAATTAGCTGAAAATAGTTTTTGCTCTTTAATAACGAACCAACCAACATGAAAATGGTATCTGCAATTAATATGTATTAAATTCGAGTAACGACCGGTTAGATAATAAAGACTATATGAAATTGACTCTCCCACTTTAGTGGCAAAAGATATGTAAGGCAACAGCTTATTAGTTTAAAATGACGGTCCTTTCGCGCCTATTTTTTACCAAATAAAAAATGTTTATTACTTCTTAGAGGCTTCCATTGCAACCTACATTAATCCTACACTCTGTGAAATATTTCAGGTATGAATTGGAATGAAAAATAACGCAAATTTTCGGAAACCCCGCAGTTTAGTACGAATATTAAATGTTTGTTATTTATTTTTCAATGATATTCCTATCCTTCCTGGGTTTCAGTCAAAGTGTGAAAAGAAATCAAAAGAGCACAGGATTGTGAACAAATGATTAGTGCATCAACCTAAAAAAAATTAGTTGATTTCATCGCTTGTTTCATCAAAATATGAGTCTTACATAAGAACAAATTCACAGCGAGTTTCACTAAAATACATCGTACCATTCTCTCGATATTTCGAAAAAGATAATTTTTTTGAAGAACGTTGACCATCAATAGCAGAGAAGCCAGACATTTTTTGTTAATAAGTTAGGTCAGATCGCCTTCTTTTGGTCCAAAGAATATCGCAGTACCCTTTTGATCATGATACACCCTGTATACAACTATGTAGGATAGAGAACTAATAAGTGTATTAATAAATATGTGATGTATTTTGTGAGACCTTGGTGAATTCTTCGTATAAACAAATTTTAATTTCGTTAAATTAATATGTAGTATGTAAGATTTTTTATACCATTTGCTATGCCAAGGTAAATAAATTCATAAAATAATAAAACATAT